AGCTTCCAGGTTGGAACTGTGTTTTGTTATTTCCCATCCATGTTTTTTAAACCTTAGGTCCTTTTGCATGAATTATTTGTCCTTGCTGGTGTTTCCAATAACTAATTTAGCATTAGCAGCACATGAAAACATGGCACAGATGTACCGTCTCAAATCAGTAAGGTTTGATTGGCTGATAAAACAGAGAAGGTTAAAAAAAAAAAATCAGAGAAAAATATAAATTGCAATCTGGCTGGATAAAAGGTTCAGACAGCACTTCTCAAAATGCAAAGGGAAAAAACAATCTGCATCATCTGCATAGGTGCTCCAAAAAATAGCCGAAGGGAACAGAAAAGCACACCCAGTCAAATGTGTACTTACAGTAAAATACATCCAGGTATAATGGCTGCTTGAAGCATGAGCACGAGAGAATCCCCTCTAGCTCAGATCCCTCTCAATCCTCATTAGTCTAACCATGACTTCCAATTATTCATTCATCAAGTAAAGGAAGGTTTCTGCATCCTTGCCATTTAAAGGCATCGTGTTTTTCATTCCATAAATGTTCTGAACGTAGGAGGAAAAACATCACAACCAACAGGTATGAACCCCGTTTTAAGCACACATACCTGCTTATTTTACTTTTTAATTCACGACTCTGTTGTTTCTAACCAAAATTTCTTCTAATTTGGGAAATGCACTCTCCTTATGGAAGATCATGCCCTGCTAAGGGTGAGTTTAAAAAAAATGGTTAGTCTGTGTTACCCAAATAAGGAACAAAGCTTATCAAGTTTGTCACATCACCTTTTTATGTCTTCACTATTGCAAACGTATACCAGTGGAATTTTATTGACTTCTAACCCAAATCCATCCTTAGGCTGAGGGGAAAAAATGCTAAATTACCAGAAAGAATTTTTTTCCCCCCTCAGAAAGTGTTAAGGGCTTAAAAATAAGAATTCTGTTATAAAAATACCTCCTCAACTATCACACTGCAAAAATAATAAGCCACAGAGAAGAAAAGTGGAGTAATAAAAAGGTGAAAGAGGCAGTGCAAAAATACTAGAATATTCACACCTATACGGTAGTGCAAGCTCCATTTACTTCAATGAATGCCACTTGGGCTCCGATCCCTGGTTCTTCTAAACGTCGCTAGACAAACATGTACGCCACAACGAGGATGTAAAAACTAGTTTTATTGATTTTATAACATCCACTAACATTTTAAAACGGGCATCATTTAAGTTAGCTGAAATGGATGCAACAGCTCCCAGAGAGTGAAAATGGCAAAAAGTCTCTTTCTCCAAGATTAAAATCAGCTCGCTGGACAGAAGGGGAATAGTAGGTTCATCCTCTCCATCTGAAACTCCAAGCATCAGACTGTACAGAACCAACAGAAATGTGTGAGTGCCCAAGAAGCACTGCTTAGACAACCACATGACAGAGGCTTTGGAGCAGAGACAGGAAACCATGAGTAAGTCCATCCATCCATCTGCACAGCCACTGAGGTATGTTCTACGAATAGGCAATGGTTTGTTGGGCACCACAGGAAAGTGAATCATCTTTTCCAGGAATACCTATTCTGGCATGGAGACACGGGGTGGCACACGTGTCCAGCTTAGTCTCCTCGGTGCGGGTACTGCTGCTGAGGATTTTCCAGGATCTGGGAGCACCTGGGAGGAGGCAGTTGCCAAGAACAACATTCAAGGCACCAAACCTCAAGCAGAAACTACAGAAGAGTAAGGTGATTGAAAACAAATATGAAATGAAACCCCCCTTTTATTGTAATTGAGGACAAGGCTGCTTCCATCCTTCCCTGCCAGTATGCAAGGGAGAAGAGAGATTTCTCAGGACCGTTGAGTTCTTAAAAAAGTGGACGGGGCTACAAAGCACCGCAAGCAATCCAGAGGTGGTGACCCAGGGAACTTAAGCGACCCTGCACTTTGCTTTGTTTCCACCTGAAAAGAGAATCCAATATCCTTTCCTGCTGGCCCTGTAGCCAGCTCTGACATGATGCCTCCGCTGCCTGTGGCATTATGACCAGAAGACCATTTGGGATAGATGCTTCCTCTTAGTATCAGCACGGCACAGTGGGCACTATGCAACCTAAGGAGACGAAGACAACACGCACGTATTATTTGCATTATGTTTCCTGTCAAGCTTGTAGCTAAACAGCGCTCTGCAAAGAAGGAAGTTTGTAGCGGTCTAAATACAAGTGGCAGCCAGGTCCGTAGTTTACCAGCCCTCAATATAACTTATCGCTTTAAAAAAAAAAAAAAAAATGCAGCCTTACCACACTACTCTTTCTCGGTAATGACCCAAGGAAGAAAAGGGAAATTCTCCTAATGAAGCAGCAACTAACCTGGCAGCAATGGTCTCAGAATAATTCAACTTTTGCAATCTCAACAAGGTTAAAGTACAGGAAGGAGGAAATACAAAACATGCAAGTAATATACAAATCTTCACTAGTAAAAAACAAATGCAATCGCAGCTGAATTTCCTGGGCTCTCACTTCCTCTTGTACGAGGCGAGACCAGATCCAGGGAAAGCAGCGTACCAGGAAGGAACCCCGTGAGTGAGCGACCTGACACAGGTGGCTGTGGCAGATCTAAGGTGCAACAGTTACGTGAACAAGGCTAAGCCATGGCGGCAAGACAAGTGGGAAAGCAGGACAGCTAGTGCACGCCTAGGCTATGTACAGGAGGGTCGCTTCTACCAGGAGAAATCACAAGTACGCATTTGGTTTTTCCCAGAGGAAACGTGCCCCCTCCAGACTATTTTACACCAGTCTTGAGGCATTGAAGAGTACCCAGTAGGCCACATGTTTAACAAAAACTACTGTGCGCACATTTGCATAGCGTGCCACCCTATCAAGGGGACCTGAAGGCCTTCACCGTATGCTGGAAATTCATGGGATATTTTTTGTCAGGTAGTTTTCTCCTGTTGTCACTGGTTTATTGTTCACGGTGTGAGCTGACAGTTCCACTGGTTAACCATCATCCTCCCTATCTTTAAAGCAACGTTCCAGTTATACGAACTGGGAAAGGACTAAGTATTTTCTAAAAACGAGTCATTGTGTTCTCCAAGACCAATTGTTAGTCACTTCCTTACTAAATACAGTAAAAGCAAAGACTGGTATGAATTAACTCATTAATGAGTATCCTAGTTAAGGCACAGAGATCAATTAGGTCCCTGGTCCAAATCAGCTCCAGTCAGCAGTGATATGCTACCATTACTCTTTGGTTTTGGTTTGCAGGCCAGACAAGATAAGCGGCGCGGGCATCAGTGTTCACTTTCAGGTGAGGAGGCGCGTATGCTACAAAACGCAAGTGTGGGAAGGAACAGAGTTAGCAGAGTAACCAACAACTGAGGAGGAGGAGGGTGGAATAACTGAGAGGTGACGTTTCCTGTAAAGATGGGAACATTTGTTTCCTTTTTGGGAACTTTCAAATCCCCGTCTGTGCTAGGCAGTGGGGTTCTCCATCTTCCTAGTGGTGGGTCTCTCAATCTTCTTGGCTGTTTGAGAGACTGAACATGGAACAGATCTTTCTTCCAGCTTACCAGAGCAGAAAACCCTCTATTCACCTGACCCTTTTCCAGAACAGCAAAACTGCAAGATACTCAATGACCTACCTATATCTGAATCCTACCATTAAGCAAGCTAGCCTGTGTGTATTATGCAACTTCCAGTGACTGCCAGACCTAAAGAAGCATGTCTTTACCTAAAAATAACTCCCCTATTCTAAGACTAGAAGAGACCACTGGATCTGAAAAGCTGAAAAAACAGAAATCAGGGTGGATCTTGGGATGGGCCTGAGAACAATGGGTGGGTTTCCTGGGAGGTTCCTAAGAGCTTATGAGGAAAGGCTGAAAGGACTAGGTTTATTTAGCTTGGAGAAGAGAAGGCTGATTGAATGGTGATTATAGAAAGGATGGAGGTAGGCCTCAAGATGCAGCAGAGGGAATTTAGGCTGGAGATGAGGAGGAGCTTTCTGACTATGAGAGTAGTCGGGCATTGCTACAGCCTGCCTAGAGAAGTTGTGGAATCTCCATCCGTGGGAACTTTCAAGAGCAGGCTGGACAGACACTTGGCTGGGATGGTTTAGTCGGGGATAATCCAGACTTGAAGCAGGTGGCTGGACTAGATGAACTTGTGAGGTCCCTTCCAGTCCTGTTTTCCTATGATCCCTCTGATCTTGTTACCTAGTCAGCTCCAAGAGCTTAGTAAGACACTTACTAGCAAGGTTCCTACTTCCTTCAAGGAAACCTGATGAATAAGATGTCCAGGAAAAGGCAGAGATGGATTCCTCTTTCTTGGGGAGCTGCTATTAGGACATCAGCAAAGATAATTTTTAGAAAAGTCCAAACAGCCAAAAATAAAAGTTTCATTTTAGAAGTGCGTGAGCTGCAGAAAGGCAGACAAGGTTCCTTGGGTGAATTTGATATCTTTTATTAGACCAACCCAAATGGTTGGAGAATAGTTATTAAGCAAGCTTTCGGGTTCAAAAACCCTTCGTCAGGCTCAGGAAGCTGCAGCAGTTGGTGTGTGCTCTTCCTGGAGCTGCAGAAACGCAGACACGTGCAGTGACTCCAGAATGGGGAAGTGGGGTACGAGCGGGAAGCTCCGAGTGGGAAGGAGCCAAGGTTTTATCAATGACTGGAAAACATGAGGATGCAGAGTTACTGTCATAGAGGTAAAGCCCTCCAACCTCAGCGCCTGATCTGGGGTAATTCTGCTGAATGGACCACATGGCTCCGCTCTAACGTGCACCACTGAATCGGCGTGCTCCTCAGGTCTGGCTGCGCAAGGGAGCGGGTTCTGCAGGCTCCATCCACAGCAGCTGGTGGCTTTCGTGTGTCTTCTTGACTTACTCGATATCATGCTTTTGAGGGAGTGGATACCGGATCTGAAGAGCCTCTGAAATCCGTGCGTCTCCGTCTGGACTTCTGTACAACTCCACAACTTCCTTGGAACGAGTCTGTCAGCATCATACTGCTCACTGGGGTTGCTAGGTGTCACCGTATTTTGATCAAGGGGTGTCGTGAATGGAATGCAATGATCGGTGCTCCCATTCCAGATGCAGCTCCAACCTTATTGAACATAAGCACCACCACCACTCAAGCAAAACCCCGCAGAGTCTCTAACGGTATTCTTACAAAGGCCTCCTTAATGATGCACGATGATGCAGGTGATCAGGCGTCATCATGGCACCAGGGGCTGCAGATTCAACCGGCATGGTCTCCTGTGGCTTGATGACAGCTCCCCAAACCGGAGATGTTTCCTTAGGCTTCTACACCTTTTCAATCCTCTTCTGTATATTCACGCCATAGGCCTTCACCAGTTCCCTTTTACAGTGGTGCTTTCCTCAGTACTCTGTCACTCCCCGCCACCTTCAAGCTGCTGCTTTTCTTACCTTACTTTTGCCCTGCTGAGGTATCCTTGCATTTGTTTTGCAAACGGCACTGGTCTGGGTTTGTTTCGCTCCTTTAGTCTACCTCGTTTTCCGACAGTCCACAGCTATCTCCGTTCTTTTGCCTACCACAGGAGCTTCCAGGAGTTTTGTGCCTTGTTGCACGGGTGCACGTTTCGCTTACAGCGTTCGTTTACCGAGAAGGAGAGATGACACTGGTCGTGCCAAGGCAGCTTTTCGGGCCTGCAATAGGAACAGTGAAATCTGAGTTCTATGTGGGATCTTTCACACTTAACCAATGTATTTCAGTGCCCTCTTCCTGACAGACACTGCTTCTCTGGCACATGAAAGAACTGGCATGGATGAAAAGATGAATTCATTTCCCAACACCTGCTTGTAGACCCTGGTGTGTTGCTTCATGGTGGGATGTCTCTTCCTTTTCTGTTGTCTTTGCAGCTGCCCGGCCCAGAGCATCTCTGATAAATCACCCTCATCCTTCCCCCTGCCCCAAATGCCCGGAATCTGAACTTCATTTTTTTGTGGATGGAGCCAGAGATTCCCCTGGGCAAACTGCTTTTGGCCACTGCCCAGAGTTGCCCACCAAAGGAAGTCCAGGATATTGCCAAGGATGCTCTGCAATACTATTTTCATTATTTCATTCAAGGGATAATCAGCTTCAGTCAAGCTGGAGATCTAAGCCAGATAAGCAGAGCAGGTAGAAGCACAAAGTTGCCTCACAACAGACTTTCAATGAAAGAATGAAATGTAATTCAGCATTAAACATGGTTGAGATGAATGGAAAAGCTTTGTCAAACTGAGCTTGCTACTTCTAGGTGCCTTGGGAGACAGCAACAGTTGGAAAAGGCTCAGGCAGGTCTTTAAGCTGTTATCCTCTTGTCCAGCCTGTGGCATAAGTCAGCCTGCAGAGAGGGAAGATGAAGGGAAGGGAAGAGGAATAGAGTCCTGAAGGGAAGCTGTACCTGCTGCTGCTTGTGGCATATATATTCTGCTGGGAAGCAGGGGATGCTGTCCCCACAACTGGCTTCTTGTGCAAGCACAAAAATCAGCAGAGGTTTGAAAAAAACAAAAAATCAAAATAAATAAGCAAAGGCAGCCTTTAAAAGCTGCTCCCGGCATGGTTGCAGCAAATGCAGGTCCATAGAGAGGGTTTAAAAGGCACAGCATTCCCAGATCTGCATGCAGAGCACTGGAAACTTCTTGGAAAAAAGACAGTGAGAAAGGGGAGAGATCGACTAAGTGGCAGTAACTCAGTCTCGGAAGTTCATTCATGCTTCCACTGCACTCCCAAAAGACTAAAGGTGTGCGCACCACGTTACAGAAGCGACCTGGATATAACTTTTGTTATATTGTATACTTTAATCCACATAAGAGCTTGTGCTTCAGTTCCTCATCTATAAAACCTGTGGGAATACATAACGTAACAAAAGACTGTCTGTCCATTGCTGCTATTTTACAGCGGGTGGAGTAATTGGACATTTTTTTTTTTTAAACCATTCTTTTCTAGTGGCAGAGGGCAAACTCTCCACCCCGGGCTTCTGTACCTACCCCACTATGGCTCTGTATCACGGGACAATGTATGCAAAGTGTCTGAGCTGGTAGATGCTCTTATGTCACCGGCTCCTTTCAACAGCTCTGCTTTATGTGATCCAGGTTTGCTGTTCTGGCTGCAGCAGAAGGAGGAAATCTTGCTCTGGGTTTTTCTTGGCATCTCCCTCTTGGAAGCAGCTGTATGCAATTACATATTAAAGAGCACATTTGCAATGCAATACAGAACATTACACATACATCCAACTCTTTGAGGAATTGACCACCTGGTATTCCCAGCCTGCCAGAAAAAAAATCACTACTTCCCCTTTCCAGTTTTTTAAGTCACGTCCCTCCATAACATGTTTTTGACATCCATACTCACCAAATCATCATCTGCATTAGAATTTTCCAATGGGCATAGCTCCCTTTGGGCTAAACTTTACCGAGATAACAGGACTTGACTGGCTTCTGGCCCCTCTCGCCCACCTTAAGCTTCCCAACAAGTTAAGGTGTACAGTAGACATCTGTCTTGTTATTTCTCGGGTCCCCCCACCAGGCTGTCTGCAGCCACCTGCTGCCTCTTGTCTGATCCTTTGATTGTACGCTGTTTTATTCTGCATCTGCGCCACACGTAGCAAGCACAGTGAGATCCTGGCCCATGGCTGGGGGCTGCTAGGCACTACTGCAGTACAAATAAATACGAATGTCTAAAACCCCAGAAGAACAGTCCTTCCCAACCTGGGGGGCAGCTGACTGCTTCCACCGGAGTTCCACCGTTTTCTGCTTTGGCACTCGCGCTCTCCAAGTCCAGAGGGCTCCTTGCCCCTTGCTGCTGCAGCTTCTTCTCTCCTTCACCGCAGCTTGTTCCAGTCAGATCTCTACACAACTGCCTGAACTGCTCTTTGTGATGGGGCCGTATAAACATGTGGAACCCTGCCAAAGAAAAAGCCAAGCACGCATGGAATGAACTGGCTTACTGTGGCAGAGTCACTACTCTGCAAAAAGAGGGTCACCTGTTCTGCACTGCCCCCAGAGCACCCCAAAGGTTTGGGGAATAGCTGAGGATTTCTCAGAGAGAGTGATACTCAAGACTTTTTGCCTTGACAGAAGGAAAGGATCTGTTTTGACAAAAGACCTCAGCGTGCCTGAAATGTATGCTTTCATCACCTCCAAGTGACCCTAGATCCATCTCACCCTCCATGGGGCACTGCTGTAATGATGCCAAGCAGGCCTAGTGCCCTAAAAAGGCTGTCTACAAAAGAAAACCTCTTGGTATCATTTGTCGGCTGGAGAAAAAATGATCAGTTTCTAAAGGGTAATTTTGAGTAAGAAGGAAAAATAAAGAGCATTAAATCATGATCAGATGTCTTAAATGCACCCATATAAAGGCCAATGAGGGAAACTGCCTGTTCCTAGAAGTAGAGACTATTCTAAGGACTTTGCACCAGGTACAGGCAATCAGTGGCCATGAAGAGAAGTTTGAGAGTCTCCCCAATACCCCTCAGTGCCTGTTCTAAAGAGCAAACAGGACAAAAGTTACACAACACAATCGTATGAATAAAATCAGCACTCCTGAAGGCGCACAGCTGCAGAGGATGCTACCCATTCTAGGCGTCTGCAAGGACAAATTCTAATCAGGACAAGTGGAAACAATATCCAACTTTGAAATCACCTGGATTTGCTAAGGATTTTATGCACTGGGCTCCATTTGTCTGGTGTACTGAACACTGAGACTAGAGATGCAATGAGTTATGCAAGTGCTAAGTTCATACGAAAGGATTTGTGAACCAATGACAGCTTCCCGTGTATATCTGATATACAGGAGGAATCAGCATCCTCGCCCCTTTTCTAAATCAAACAAAAATGTACATCGAATACTTGCTTTGCAAGAGGTAGAAGAGCTCTGGCTTTTCGGTGGTGATGGCAGCTATCACTGCCACCATGGCATCGTAGTTGTCCGTCTTTTTGTACGTGCACAACGCAGCAAAGAAGCTGTTGTAATCGTTTTTGTCCAAAGACTTCTTCACATCACTCAGGTACGTGGTTTTGAGAAGCTGGTGGCGGCTCTCCTGCAGAGAACCTGACCCCTTTCCAGCCACCTCACTTTGGACGCGGATGTGATTTTCTCCTGAGAGACAGAGAACATCTGTGAACAGGACTTTGGGAAGAACACATTAGAATCTATAAGGGAGACTAAGAGGTTGGCCCTTCAGACCCATTTCCTTATTTTAGACATTTGGTAAACTAAAAATCTACCAGATGGTCACTAAGAAATCGGAAAAAGCTACAGCAGGTAAAACGCGCAAAGGCCATTGCTAGAACAAAGTCTGGTGCTATCTGAAAAGGGACCAGGTAGCAGTGCTACAAAAAGCTGTGCTAACAAACTGCTGCTGGCTTGCCAAAGAAGCACACAGAGAAAGCCCAGTTTTAAAAAGTGAGGGTTTACCACGATTCCAGAAACAAAGGGAGGCTAGCATAACATCCAAAGGGAATAATCACTTGGAAATAAAAAAGCACGCATCAGATGCAACAGAGAGCACAAAAGTTGATTAAGGTCAAAGTAGCTAGTAGCATTTTTTACATGACAAAATTAAGTCCATTTTGCATTCTGGTGCAGTCCGGAGGGGTGCTTTCTGATAACTGGCCACTGACTTCCAAAGGGAATCGTCTCCGAAAAGGAAAGGACCCAAGTTAGCACCCCCAGGAATATCAGAGCTGTCAGCATGTGGAAACAGGGTGGGAGTTTTGTAACCAGTGATTTTTAGTGCACCGTGCATCACAGGATCAACTGGCACCCTCAGAGGAAGCATTCTCCTTCGGGAGCATCCTACAGAGATCATTTCTACTTTTGTCTATTTTTTCTAAGTCTTTGAAGTCAAATTTGCATAAAAGTTAAATCCAAGTCATTAATGGTTCTGCTGTTCCCCTCTGGTTTCCGTTTGTAATGCATCCGAGACATCTCACACTCCCACAGTATCCCATGGCACAGACAAATGGACACCGAGAGCAGTTTCAAAAGGGCAAAGGAATGGCAGCTTCATGCCACGCTGCAGCCATTATCGTGCAATAACCTGTGCATGAGCCTGAAATGATACCAGTGTAACCAAACCACTCCAGCTTGAACCCTGCTTCATCCAGGTTTAGGCTGCTATTCAGCTCACTTGGATCACTACAGGCTCATGCACACATAGCAGTCAGGGCATAACAGATGCTGCATGTTCTAGGAACTCTGAACTCAGGTCAGCATTAAGCATCAGGAGATAATGCTCTAATAAGAAACCCCCAGATAATCTTGATTTCATGTACACATCCCTGAAAACAAGGGAGAGAGAAAGTAGGCCAAGAGAAACAGCTTCACTCAGAAATGAGAAACTTTCAAAGCTTCCTGTGAAACATCACCTGCTCTAGAATTCTGCAGAAAATGAAATCTGAACTCCTTATGGGAACGGCCAGTTAGAGGCAGTTCAAAAAAGCAGCAATTGCTCCGAATGAACTAAGGCTACAGATTATGAAGCTATTAATTTCTCGATGACAGATGCAAGAAAATCCTAGCAGTTCTCAGGAATAGCAATTTAGTCATGGCTCAAGTGGATCACTGGCTTTTACAAATAAATACTGGAGAAAATTAGATCAGACGCACGTGTTTTTTTTGCATGGATTACTGAAGATACATTTCCTGATTTGTGTTCCTGAGAAATGAGCATCTCCATTTTTGCTAGATGCAAGCTACTAAAATACAAAGTCTTCTCATCACCTCCTTCACTGGATCAACGCTGGCTTCATTTCCCTCACCCTGCTTAAACTGTTCCCTTCTGGAAACCCTAGAAAAACAGACAGGCCCTGCTTTGCGGCCGAACACGCTGGAATAAGACCACTGATCATCATTTCCCCAGATGGAGGGCAGCAGGTTGAAAGCCTAGCTCAGTCTTCCAGCTTGTGGTGATTACACTGGTATTTGTGCATGCCTGGGTTTAAATCGTGAGCTTCTACGTTTCATTTCATGTGGTATTTTCAAACTTGTGGGCTCTGGAACTAGTTGACTTGTTATAGTGCTTAGCAGCGCTGGTCACGGACCAGGGGCCCCACTGTGCTAGGTGCTGTACAAACACTGGCAAAGGCAGCCCCTGCCCCCCCAGAAGCTGATATTCAGACAAGAGACTACACGTAGACAGAGACTAGCCAGGGAGCACGGCTGAATAACAAGACGGCAAACCTGCAATTGCTCGGGAAAGTGTATTTGTGCTGATCAGCCCAGAAGTCAAGTGGGATCCTCCTTGGTTCAAGTGCAGCTCCGAGCTGAGCTGGCTGGATGAACCCTCCGAGGATGCTGTTTTCTCCTGGCACTGTTTTCCCTCTGTAAAATCAAATGAGTCAGTGAACAATGGTGGGGTGGAATTTAGCTCACGCAGCTGGGAGAAACCTGGGATCTCTTAAGTATTTCACTCCTCACACTGGAAGGTATTGCCCAGACGACCTGGAGGTACAGGTGTGCTTTTCTGGTGAAGAAAGGATTACTAACAACGCCATTCCCATCTTCCTACAGTCATACATCTTTACTGTTTCCAGATGACATGAGTATACCTCCACCTGTCACACTGATAACGCAAAAGTACTGGGCCAACAGGCAAGGCAAGCAGGAGTAAAAAGGATCTACGGGCTAGATCAAGGATTTGTCATCACCCCTGGCCAGCTGTGCAGCATTCAGTGCTCAGGGATCAATCTGCGGGAATGAGAAAGCAGGGTGGCACGTAAGCAAACTATACACTTTTAAAAATAAGGATGCAGAGGGAAAACCCAGGTGCTCTCTAACCCACAAAAGCAACATGACCTCACATTCGGGAGAACTGATACTCCAGCTGGTCAACACACAATAGGTAGTCAACCAAAGAGCTATTATTAATAAGTTAGCAGGACTAATTCCGAACGGCTTAGGGTCTGATTATCAGAACTGCTTGGCTCTTGTAGTTTCTACTGCCTCGGTGCTGGCATCCAACACCTACAAGGAAAAATTAGTCCATAACTCCATTAGGATTGTTTACCCATTTTAGGCCTAAAATGGCCCACTAGGAAGGGATATGACTTTTCTTTAACTTCAGATGGAAGATATACTTCAGCCTCTGAAGACTGAAAACATAACACACCCTCTCAGCATTGTATAAGCTATAATGGACACTTGACTTCATCTAAAATAAAAGGTACTACGCACAGGCATTGCCATACGCAGCTGCATTTGTACTGGGGAAGAACAAATCTTCTCGACCAACCTGTCCACAATGGCTGGATTTTAACATCCGCACTTCCTAGCTGTCATTTCCGCCAGCAGCATTACATAATAACACGCTCCTCAGACTCCATCACTTGGATCTCTAGAAGGGACGGCGGTGCTGTTCTGTTGATTTGTTAGCAATGGCCCCTTGCAAAAGCTGATGGAACAAACTCTATCAAAGCGATCAGCTGTGTGGCTGCCGCTGGACCCAGCTCCTCACCTGCTTCCTTGGCCATCATCTCTCTCTCCCCTCGTTGGAGGCTGTGCTCGGGTTTGTAGCCACAACCTTCTCCAGTCAGGCTACGGCAGGCTTCGTCAAACTGCTTTTTGTGATGAGGTCGGACAAACTGGTAAAATTCTTGCATTAAAGAAAAAGGGCAGGTCAGTTCAGACGTGCAGTTCATACATCCCAATAGTTACTACATTCCAGAGGCCAGTGCTGGGCAGACTCCCATGTTAGAAAAGAGGTAAAGCTTTCAAAAATGCCCACGTGGCCGTGGAGCCTACGTTGCATTTTCAAACCCAGCTCAGGTGGGTAGTACCCAAGTCTCGGTGAAACTCGAGGAGACTCCAGAGAACAATTTTACGAGGTACCTCAAGTCTGTTTCCTATCATCACAAACATTAGCAACCAAGGAAATCACCATGTCAGTCAGCCAGGAAGATGCACGTCGGCTCCACACACATTCTAGATCCACCGGTATCCTCCCCCAGCCGTCACAACCCCAGCGTCCACGCTTTCAGTTCTAAGACAGAACCACCCCAGAGGCGCACATAGATCTCCTCGCGGTTACACGCCAGCCTAGCTCCAACCCCAAGACGACTCGGTGACATTTCTCACGTTATCACTCCATACTTGCATTAGCTATATGATCAAAGCACGAGTTCTCTAAAAATGTTAATTGTTTAATTTGGCGCATCCATGTCAGGGAGCACTTGCTTTTGCAATGCAATAGCCCTTTCTAAAGGACAACAGCTATGTCCCACAGGATGCATTTAGAGAACCATCATACCTCGCAACAGCATATGCTTTCTCTGGTCTTCCAAAAAAACACCACTCATCTGAGATAACATGGTGCTGAAGTCATCAGTCATTTTATACTGCTTCAGAGCCTCTGAGAAGACATCATAGTTTAGCTGGCTTAGTGATTCCTTCACTGTCGCAATGAATGACGTAGCTCTGGTCTTCTTCGGCTCAGTTGGAACGGTCATCTTTCCACTGTCAGCTTGCTGGAAAGAAACCAACACTGATCAGTAAATGGGAGACATTTGGAGAGATGTTCTTATGTTAATTAAGATGGGATTACTTTCTCCCTCAACTTCCCCCATCACCAAACAAACTTTATTTCACCTTGTCACCTTGCACAGGTGTAACATGTCCACAACACACAATGATGAGATGAACTAAATGACCCGAGAACCTTTACAACCATAAGTTTCTATGATTCATAGTTTCCTAGTTGGTCGGGTCGGAAGGGACCTGAGATCATCTAGTCCGACCCCCTGCCGTAGCAGGAAAGAGTACTGGGGTCGAACGACCCCGGCCAGATGTTCGTCCAGCCTTTTTTTAAAGACCCCCAGGGTAGGAGCCAGCACCACTTCTTTTGGAAGTTGGTTCCAGGTCCTAGCCGCCCTGACAGTGAGATAGCGCTTCTTAATGTCTAGCCTGAAACTACCCTCCACTAGCTTGTGTCCGTTTTTTCTTGTAACTCCTGGGAGTGCTCAGGGGAACAGGGACTCTCCCAATGCCTGCTGGTCCCCCTTGACTAGTTTGTAGGCTGCCACTAGATCCCCCTCAGCCTTCTCTTGTGGAGGCTGAACGGGTTCAGGTCCCGTAGCCTCTCCTCGTAGGGCCTGCCCTGCTGACCCCTGACCATGCGGGTGACCTCCTCTGGACCCTCTCCATGCTGGCCACATCCCTCCTGAAGTGCGGCGCCCAGAATGCTGAACATGATTCAGTGAACATGAGCTAACTGCATGCCATGAAACACAACCATGTGCTACCTGGTGATCATTTCATGCCACTTTAAGCAATTGTGGTCAGCCAGAAATGCACATCACTCTTGCATTACTTTCTGGAAAGGCAAGCAGATGTGCCTGCCTGCTGGAAATTCAAAATTCCGTGAAAGACCAAAATGACTTGTGCATAGGTTCAGCCAAACGGCTATGAACTGAAAAACCCACACATGCTTTGTGGGAAAACCAGAAAAGAGGATTAACTCTGGCTTTAATTTTTTTTTCCCTTCAATCACAAAAAACCCCTCAGCCATCTGAAAAAATTCCAAACGACCTATTATAGAATTAGCTGCTTTCACAAGGGGTTGTGATAACTGGTTCTGAATCACCATGTGCTCACACAGTCTAAACAAAGTGCCTCTACTGTATTTAATATACTCTTACTAAACATGCCTTTCCCTATGTATATTGTAATCTATCCTTAGGGCAAGAAGCAGTGATCTGGGGAATTCCAACACCACCCCATTGTATATGATTTCCCAGACTATTATTACATTCAGCCCTAAAACATGCAGTTTGTATCATCACCGAGGGTCCTTTACAGGTTTAGAAGTACAACTGTTCCATCAAGAAAGAGGGTGGGGAGGGGGCTGTCTACTCCATACTGCTTTACAGAAAGGCCAAGTGATTAGTTTTCCAAGAAGGGCAGCCAGGTGCCGTTTCACAACTACATGCTAAGGAGGCTTCTTAACAGAGGAGTCTTGCATCACACCTTGAGGGCTACAAGGCTGAATCATCCTAATACCGCGTAGCAGTAAAATTTACCGGGGAGGGCTCCGTGCCGAGAACACGGTTGCTATTAGACGCAGCATCGCTGAACACAGCTGCTGCCTGACAGTAGAGCTGCTGTTCCATGTAAGGCTTTGAAGACAAGGACTTGAAACGGCTCTCGTAGCACATGCAGCCATCACGTGGGTTAGTCAGACCTCACAGGCAGACCGGCAGCTGCACAACGACTCAGCCGTAGTTCCCAAGTCATCATCAGAGTCAGCCTGGGGTCTGCTGTAACAGCTCAGCCCAGAGGTGACATGGGCATGGCTCACCGTGGCCCACACCTATGATGTTAAGATGTAATCTCCTGGCAATAAACTGGTCAGAGCTGCTACATAAGCCTCCATGCCACTTTGGCACTGGGAGGGAAGTTTACCAACTCAGTAGGTAGTTGCAAATGTGGGAAGGACTTCCAGATACTGTGCTCTGTGTATTGGCCCTACCCAAGCCTGTTCTTGGTTGAACCAGTACTATACATGATGGAGTTACATTAGGTGGAGCTGGGTGTCAGCACTGTAGTGGTGGTTGTACTATCGGTCTTAATTTGACCCATTTGTATATACACATTAGGAAACAATCTAATTAGTTACGACCTCACTCACCACATACTTCCTACTTCTGCAAAATCAGGCAGGGGATCTACAGACAAGAGTGTCCTTCTCACCTTCAGCACTGTCCGTGGGGCCATGCTATTAATGACCGTTTCATAATGCACGTGTCTACGGGACAGATTAAGAGCTGCCTTAATGATGAAGTGTCTCACCTTTTTGGCTTTGAAATCGTAACATCCTTCTGATGTCATTTTAAAACACAATTTCTCAAGTTTCTTTGAATTTAAAAATTGAAGAATAAAAAGTCATCCCATGGAACCATATTGTCCCCTCACGAGTCATGAGCAGGGCACAGGCCTTCAGCTCACCAGCACAGTTCTCAGCTATTTATGCTAGTGGCATAGCTGGCAACAGCAGAAGGCTGTTGTCTTCTTCTCTAGCAAGCTCTTGGAAGGACAGCAAAGGAGGTGCAGAGACTAAGAGTAATTCCAGGTTCTGAAGGGGATAACAAAGTCTCCTTCCCTTGGTTTTTCCCTA